GATCGATGTACAAACCTTGGCCAAGCACTGCAAGCACCTAATGTAAATGATATTTGTATTGGATCGGAAACAATCGAGCCGCTTTACCCCGAACGCGGAAGCTGAGGTGCAAAGAGCCCATTCATGTTTCCAGTCCATTTTAGTTTTTCTTAATATTTTTCTTCTACATGTAAATTTTATCAGTGATTTAACGAGGAAAAATACGGCAAAATTTCTTTCAAATATTTTTAAAAGGCAACAACAAAATCTGTGATTTTGATTAGAAAAACCACCAAAAAAAACGAGCTATACGGTTATAATTATAGTGCAAATGGTAAGCAGTGCATTTAGAGCTGCACGTTTATTTATTTATTTAATTTCAGACACCAACTAAAAGCAGAAAGAAAAAAGTGAATAATCATATGGATTGACATGCAGTTTTATATGATTTGTTCAAAAAGAAGCAGTTGGAAAATATAACAACTTATGATTTCCACCAGTTCAAACTCTTCAGTTATTCCCACATTGAATCATGTTTAAAACTCACGTTAATTATTTATACATATTTAATATAGACACCCATCCTATACCACATAATAAGCTCCTTATTGATGCTTTACTAAAAGCAGAGTGAAAGATTCATTCTCATTCATTTAAAGCATAAAAGCATCACGCTGGATGTTTGGGACCAGACTAATCGCTGGAACAGACCAACTGACTCATGCTGCGTTTGCTTCCCGTTGGAAAACAGGAACGTGTTTCCAGAAGCAGCCATCTCACCTCGGTCCGTGTCGTACAGGAAGACGAACTTCTTCCAGTCGTAGTGGTCGAGCAGGGAGAGCAGTGCGCGGCGGATGGACGGCCGCAGCTGCAGGGCGAACTGGCTCTCGCCCTCGGTTGGGAAGCTGGGCGTGATGAGGGAGATGTGCAGCGCGCTGCAGAACGACGTCAGCGTGTGCACCGACCGCTTGTCGTACAGGCCGAAGATGGCGAAGACACCGCGGGAATACTGCGAGCAAACTGCGGACAAACACACAATAGGAGGCAGTCAGCAGCGTGCAGAGGTCAAAGGTCACCAGCCTGGGAGCAGAGCTGGAACAGAGAGTCAGAAAAATTAGCTTTAAAATGAAATCCAACGTAAAATGAGCAGAATTTATGACAACAAACCGAAGCTGCTGGATTTAATCTTTCGCTGAGGCTCAAGCACTGTAAAAACACAAAATCATACCAGATAATTTTACCCAGATTTTACTACAAATATCTCAGTTCACTCGAAACAAAACAAGCTTAAAAGTAACTTTTCAGAAAGAAATGAGTTTAAGTCAGTAATGCTTTAATATTTATGAAAAAGTTGTAATTCCGTAAGCATATTATTTCACTTATAACATGAGAAAAATGTTTCATTATAAGTGAAATAATCTGAGAACGTTTTTATAAATATAAAACATTATTAACTGAAAACAAGCTAATGTATCCTGCTGAATCAGTTCATTGTTAGTGGGCCTATCATGATAACAAACTCATAAATTATGCCAGCAGTTGTCACCACAAACAATAATATTTATCCAGAGTTCTGCTTTTTAGCAAAAACCTCCAGCAGTTTTTACTAAAATGCAGAAACGCCCACATATAAAACAAGAAAACTGTTGTGTCTCAGTTCCTGTTGCTAAAAATACAGAAAAAAAATGAAAACTTTTGCTTTTTTTTTATCTGTCAAACCTGCAAAAGTTGCAGAGATCTGACTGCTTTTGGTTGATTAAAAAATTCTGTGATTAATGTGTTTATTTAACAAGTAAAAACAAAAAAAATGAAATGGATTTTGTGATTCAAATTTATTATTGCCACAGGCTGTTTATAAAGAAAATAATCTGCAACATTTTCATCAATATTCTGTTCAGCAGCTCTTATGAAAAACTTTTCAGTCCCTCCAGGATTTCCAAATTGTTTTTGTGATTTTTTTGTGATTAAAATCTCAGATTTTGTGTTGATAATTTAGAAATATTTGGTAAGATTTTTTTTTCTCATTAAATTTCTTCATACAGAAGAAAAAATGAGGAAAAAGCAAAAGTGACTCAGGTTAGAGTCACAAGCTGTAACTCAAAATCAAGTAAGGCTGAGGCAGCAGAACAGTAGAAGAAATAAACACTGCCCCCTGCAGGTCAAAGTTAGCATCATTTAAATTTTATGTTTTTGCCTTTTTTGCAGAAAAATTCACACACAAAAAAAATCAAGAATTTGATGATTTTGTGTGAAAATCCGGAGAAAGTGACTTTTAAAACCCTTATTTTTTATACCAGAGGAATGAACGATGCTGTTAGCATAGAGGCTACATGCTAGAATAAAAGCTAACAGAGCGGTTAGCTGGAGCACGGAGGTGGAGGCTGATGGTTGGGACTCGTTCTGATCAAACATTTCCTCTGTGCTGACATGAACAGAAACAAACCGTTTCCTTTGGCCACGCTTTGAGTTAAACAGAAACTTTGATTAGCATATAGTCAACAGCAGCTCTCATTACAGAGCGGCGCGCCACGGCGCTAATGGCCTCCTTTCTTCTTCTTCTTCTCCTCGCTGTGCGGAATGACAACAGGAAGGAGATAATGAGCCGCCGCTGCCAGTCTGAGCAGAAAGAGAAGAGGAAGAGCTCAAGATGTCTCTGAGGTAAACAAACATTTCCTCTTCTGTTCGACACGCGGCTAACGCAGACGGTGGCCAGATAAACCCTCTAGCAGCAACAACCGTTTTCATCTCAGAATATTTAAACTGCGGCTCAAAGAAAACAACAAATATTAACTCCAGAGAAGAACCACTTCAGAAACACCCAATATAAACTTTAACACGACTCAGAAATTCAAGAAACACAAAAAAGAAAAAGCAAATAAAATCAGACTTTTTATGTTTTATGACAGGGGTGATCAAAGGGAGGCCCGTGGGCCATTAGTGGCCCTTAAAATTATTTTGTTGGGCCTCAGAATAAAGTCAAGAATAGAAAAAACAAATGATGACCCAGAGATGTTTTTGAAAATGTTTATTTTTCTTTTAATAATGTGAAAGTCCAAAGTCATTTTTATGTTCTGGGTCTTTAATTTTATGTAGAGTTCATAAAAGTGTTTATTGTTGAGCAGATTAAACAAATAGAAATAAACACAATTTTACATCTTTATTTTAATGAATTTTCTCACCCTCCAACTGTTCTGATTTGCCAGTTAGAACAGAAACATTTAGTATTGTATTGGTAATGTAACATATTAATAATCTAAACTAATTCTTAATTTATTTCTTAGCAGAAAATGTTTTTATTACATAAAACAGAAATGTTCAATGAAAACTGTCAAATTTAAACAGCAGAAGAGCCACAAAATCCATAAAAAAATTTTTATCTGATCAACAATAAACAAGATCTTTACGAAATCTGTATAAAATTAAAAACCCAGAACATAAAATGGCTTTGGATTGTTGCGTTATTAAAAGAAGAGCAAATATTTAACATTTTTAAAATTGCTTTTACCATTCTTCACTTGTAATCAGGGGCCAAAAAAATAACTTCAAGGGCCACTAATAGCCCCCGACCTGCACTTTGATCACCCCTGACTCTGGCAGTCCACATGCTCTCTCTCTATGCTCCAGTACTAAGGTCTGGATTTGGGGAAGCATCATCTCTCTTAAGTCTTCTAATGAAACGTTGAAACTTTCTCCTGTTTTCATCTCATTTTATCAGATAAAAACCATTAAAGGAACAAACTAAAACTCCTGGAACTAAAACCAGAAGGTCTGCTGTTAGCATTAATGCTAATCTAATGTAATAATGACTGAATATTGAATAAAACAGATGAGAAACACTTCAAAAGTCAGCGTTTCTGTCCATGATGCGTCTACCCCTGGTTAGATGTTGGGTCTAGAAATTGGCAGCTAGATGTGTCAGTGAGGAGCCGTTCCCGGCCTCGGCGGCCATGTTGTGTTCACTGATCAATAATTCATATCAGCCATTGATTTACTGCTGAGTTATGAATCACAGACTCATCAGCGGCTCTCTGCGTCTGTTCGGGATTTTCCAGCTCACTGATTCTGGTTTAAATCTTTTTTTTTTTTTTTTTTTTTTAACATTTCGGATCAGACGCTGTAACTCTGAAAAATAAATATCTAGACTCAAAACTCCCAACAAAACTGCAGTATAAAGAGACGAATCTGGACGAATATTGTCCTAATTTCGTATTTCAAAGCTTCACTGACAGAGAAAAGTGTTTCAATATTTTAAAGATTTTATGTGACAGAAAAACGCAAAGAAAAAGAAACGAGAAATAAAAATAAAAATCTGCAAAAACGGTGATGGCAGCATCATTCTGTGGGACAGGGGAGTGTTTAAGAGTTGATGTGATGTGGATGGAAGAAACCTGGCAGCAGACTGGAGTCAAGGTTCAACTCCCTAAAGCAGAGTCATGTGTTAGAACGGCCTAGTCAAAGGCCTAATTCCAAACACAACTTAAAAACCTGATTTATGAAGAATGGGAAAAAACGCTCCGGATGTTCACATGTTTTAGATAAAACCCAGAGAAACTGCAGCCAGATCTGGATCTACAGAGCTCTGACTCATTCCAGATTAATATAAATGCATGCCACACTTTTAAGATTTTTTTTTTTTTTTGAAAAAAATGTTAAAAAATTATATTTTTTCCTTCAATTCGACAGGTTCTTATAAATTTCTTAAATTTTGTGTTTGGGTGTTTTAAGCTCCATCAGTGGAAAAATTAAGGTCAGATTTACCTAAAGCAGGGGTGTCCAAACTGTGGCGCGGGGCCCTATGTGGCCCTCTGTATGATTTTTGGTGACCCTGATCACAGTTCAAGAGCAGATTAAAGTTGGTTTGCTGGTTCAAAAAGTTTAATGCAGATCCGCATTTAGAATCAAATTTGGTGACTTTTTTTATTCAAAATACAAGTAAAATCTTAAAATGGAGTAATAAAGTATTGATCCAGGTTTCTGATTTTAATTTAATGGTAATGCAGACATAGACACACCCAAGAAATAAAACTATTGTCACTAAACAGACACAAAAATACAGAAAACAATACATTATTTTTAATCTGTGGGAGATCTGACTGATTTTATTTCATTACAATATTCTGCGATTTGTTTTACTTAGCAAGCAAAAATAAATAAAACCGTCTAAATTCAGACCACCAGAATAAAAACTTTTATCACCCAGGTTTTAGTAGAAGAAGAAAAATTATAAATCATGAAAATGGAAAGTTTGTTTTAATTTACTATGTGATTAATTGATTTATTGATTATTGCTACAGGCCTCCTTATCACTAGAATACTGATAACTTTGTGGCCCTTGGAGGAGTTGCAGAGTGTCATTCTTGGCCCCCATGCCCAGCGCTTGGCCCCTCAGGTAGCTGCAGCGATCCGGCCCGGCCCGCTTAGTGGTGACCCTGAAACGGCCTCACACTCCACTGCACATCCAGGTCAGCGCGCCGCTGCAGCGGGTCGATGAGCGGCACACTAACAGAGCAGAAGCCCCGCCCCCGCTGCGAGGCCCCGCCCACACCGCCATGCTGGATCCATTTATCGAGCCGAGCTGCACAGAACGGCCGGCGCCAGTTCTGCTGACGGTCGGTAAGGGCTACGCATGATTCAGAGTAAACTCAGGGTCAAAGTTCAGCTGAGGCTGAATTAATTCTGCTGACGTTCACCGACTCCTTCCAGCTAAATTATCACACATTTTCTCACATTAAAACTGAAAATTACATTTTATTTCTCTGGGATTTTAGGTGATAAACATGGGGTGGTCAAAGTGTGGCCCGGGAGCCTTTTGTGGCCCTTGAAATGATTTTGTTCGGCCCCTGAATACAAATCAAGAATGGTAAAACAACAGATGGCAACATTTTTTAAAGTTACTGTTTTAGTTATGAAATCATTTTATGTGTATAAATGATTTTGATTATATTATTGGACAAAATGTAAAGTTTGTGTCTGTTTCTCACTGAATGTAGTTTTTTATTTTCATGTTTTTAAAGCACTTTGAACGGCCTTGTAGCTAAAATGTGCCGCACAAATAAACTTGACTACTTAACTGAACAATCTGAAGCCCCGTTTGTGTTTTAGCGTTAGCTCAGCTTCTGCGTCAGCCAGCGGTCTCCAGCATATTGGATAATGTTGAATCATTTTTCATGAATCAGTCAAAGTCTGAGGAAACGTCTCCAGAAACACAGCAGGTCTGCCGATGAAGACGACAACGTCAGCCATCTTGGAGGAAACGCAGCAGGAGATCAGAGCTGCTGTGCAACATTTTCACAATGTGCAGAAAATCCATCAACATCAAATTAAATCTGAGAAACAGAATATAAGAGCAGCTCTAATTTCCTGCAGCAGAGGATCATGAACATGTATGAGGAAATCAGAGAGTCGCAGCATTAAGCGTCTCATGAGCATGTTTGACAGAAACACGCCTGCTTCCTGCAGCCACACCGTTAAACCTGCCACCTTACAGCACTCTGCTGCCTCCTCTCATTCCCCAGTGTGTGTGCGTGTGTGTGTGCGTGTCAGAGTGAATAAGACTCTCATGCCCTGTGCTTCTGTGCAGTCGAGTGGAAGCTGCAGCACGTGAGCATTTGTGCGCAGGAAACCCACAAACGTGCAGCAGGAGGGACAGAGAGACGTCACATCATGCTTGCTGTCGTCACACAGCGCAGCGCCGCATTCTGTCTGCTTCACTTGGTCTCCCATCATGCCCTGGGAGGAAGGAGAGATGCTCCACTCCTTATCCTCATCCTGTTTTCCAGCAGCCTGTCACAAAGATCAGAGTCCTGAGGCTGAACGCTGGAAGGATGAGAGGAGAAATTCATCCTGATGTGATCTGAGCCTGAAAGGAAGAAACTCCTTAAAACTATTTACCATGATATAGTGGTAGTGTAGCGCTTCAGCGTTAGCTTCCTCTAAATAACATGTTGGTGTAGCGCTTTAGCATTAGCTTCCTCTAAATAACATGTTGGTGTAGCGCTTTAGCATTAGCTTTTACTAAATAACATGTTGGTGTAGCGCTTTAGCATTAGTTTCTATTGAATAACATGTTGGTGAAATGCTTTAGCATTAGCTTATATTAAATAAGCTAATAACATGTTGGTGTAGCGCTTTAGCATTTGCTTCTATTGAACAACATGTTGGTGAAGCGCTTTAGCATTAGCTTATATTAAATAACATGTTGGTGTAGCGCTTTAGCATTAGCTTCATCTAAATAACATGTTGGTGTAGCACTTTAGCATTAGCTTCTACTACATAACATGTTGGTGTAGCATTTTAGCTTCTACTAAATAACATGTTGGTGTAGCATGTTAGCTTCCTCTAAATAACATGTTGGGTAAGGCTTTAGCATTAGCTTCTGCTAATACAGTGTTGGTGTTGTATTTAGCGCTGTCTGCTTTCACCAATGCAACTGAACGTGGACATACCTAGATTTTAAAGAGCTAAATTTTCCTGTTTCATTGTAATTTGACGGTTCAAACTGAGCTGCAAACATTTGCATCAGTTTTCCAGATTTTTGCTTAGATCCTGGCGTGAAGCTGAAGGATTTGACTAGGAGGATAATTCAGCCTGCAGACTTTAACTTTATGATCCCGCTGTGCAGGAATCCGTAAACACAGCAGCAGCGTGGCTGTAACTCAGCCACAGCGGCACTGAAGCAGGTCAGTAACTCTACGGCTTTCACACTCATGACAACAGGTGAATAAAATCTACTCTGACTCTTAAAAACAACAAAAAAAAGCTTCAAATGAGTTTCAGCAGCTGACATCCTCAGGGGATTCAGTAGAGAGCACCGAATGCTTCTGAGTGTGAATATTTTAAGTGGCGCCATTGAGGTGTGAGTGAACTAAACTACTTTTAATGCTTTATCACTTAGCATCCATAAAACATGAGGAACCAGGAGGGAACACAGACAGAGATCAGTCAAATAAAAAGCTTTTACAGTCACCTGTAGGGAATGATAATTTGGGATCTAAACGCTGAGTCATCTCCAGGATGAAGCTTCAGATTAGCTGTTAAGACACCAAATTATCTTCAGGTACAATTAAACTTTTTCCTTTGGTCAAAAGAATAAAAAGACAATTATTTAAATACAAACCTGTTAAGATTTGATGGAATTTACAAACATAGCTAAAACTGTGTTTCATTTGGACAGTGGTTGGCATGCTTCCGCTAACATGCAAAGCTTAGCGCGTTAACATTCTTGCTAACTCTGAAAATGATTAGCGCACTTAGCTTCCACTAAATTAATCTTTCCAGGCAAATTCTAAAGTGCTAAGTTAGTTAGCGCTGTAGAACTTGGTTATTCATTCTACTGTAATAAAATTAAAGAAAACAAAAAATCTGATTCCAGCAGAAACATAAAACTGAGCATCAGAACATTGACTTCTTCTGGCTTTCTTCTTCCAGCTGGAAACGATGAATCATTTTCTGTCTATGTCACATTAAACTTACATAAAACCTTAACTAAAAACTCTGAAGTTTATTATTATGTGACAAAATGTGAAGAAACTCTTCTGCTGTTTTTCCTCCCATAAATTAACCTCCAATCATCTTCTTGTCTCCATATTTGTTGCTTTTTCAGCAGAACTGCCTCCAGCTCTCTCTCACACAGATCCGGTCGCTCCACACACACACACACACACACACACACACACACACACACACACACACACGGATATGTGTGAATCCCAGGTGGAAACATGTCAGCAGTAAAACCAATAAGCTGCGGCGCGGCTCCCTGACTGCAGCGTTTTGACAGATGCTGTGCTGCAGGTGACTTGGCGATGCCGATGTGTCGTTTTCCTCATGAAGACATCAAACGTGTCACCAAACAGATGCTGTACAGCCACGGCCATTTTCAAACTCTGGATCTGGACCCGTCACCAAGTCAAACCCAGACTTCTATTATCACTATTCATAATAATAATAATAATAGTTCATGATGCAAGAGGAAAACTCATCCTTATTTAGCCCAAAGCCAAATTAAATGTCGTTACTGGATGGTATTGGTCCAGTAGCAGTCAGTATTCCAACAATTCTGTACAGGCCTCTGATTGAAGACTGTTGCTGTGTGACAGTCTCATACTAACATGCTGACAGCTCAACCTCAGCTTAATATAAAACAAGTGTTTTAGAGAGAGACACTGGAGTAGGGGAGATGATGGATGGAAGAGATGGATTGAACTTCCTCCTTCTCTCTCTGCTCTTTGGTTCTCGTTGTCATGGTTGCGGATCATAACAAATGTCCAAAAGTAAAATTGTGAGAGATAAAGAGTGCTTCAAGTGGAACAGCATCCAGAACCAGAGGGAATAACGGTCCAAACACACAATAATTCAACCAGAAATATTAGAACTGAGCTGCTCTCTAAGCTCCTCCCCTTTCCAAAGATCCTCAGTAGACTGAGATGTGTGCTTAATGAGGACTTCTTGAAACTTTAAGTACAAACCCATAGGCGGATTTCTAGGTGAGACACAAACTAACGCAAAGGTGAAAGCATAACTGACAAAAACAAAAAAAAAAACAAAAAATTCACAAAAGTAGGTGGAGCCGAGATAGACTCAGGGGCGTGGCCAAGTCAGCGGAGGAAGTTCAGCACTTTGTCGCTTTATTTAACAACTTTTCAGATCCTCAAGGGACTTTTGATTTAAAAAGAAACTCGTCACAAATCTAGATACTTTTTCTGTTATTGGAAGTTTTATGGGGACATGTGAAAAAGAAACAGCTTTAAACAACAGGAATTTTCTCGCAAAATATTACAGAACCAGCAGGTTCTTGTATTTTCTCAGGTTATTAAACATTGGTTTAATCTGAAACATGCAGGCAGGACAAATCTGGACTTTGAGCCCGTATGAAGACTTTTGGACCCAGTTCTCAAAGACCCAGTTTAATAAAATTCAATTTAATTTCAATGTTTCCGTCCTTTGAACCCAGAAGATGAGCCTGACGTTCCTGAAGACGATGAGACATTTCTGGAAGAGGGACAACAGTTTCTGTTCAGGACCGGTTTGAGATTTATTGTTCTGTTTCCAGTTGCCTGAGGTTCTGCTCCAGCAGTAACTCGTCCTGTTTTCTATAGCCATCAGCTTCATAAATGGCTGCGTCTCTGCGTTCAGCCCAGCTGACGCCAACACCCAGCTGGAGGCCAGAACCCTAAAGAACCGGATCATAAAACCAGAACCAAAACTCTCCAAATGGCTCAGCGGCTCCCAGACAGAACCAGAGATCCAGAAGCAGAAGATCAGCAGGCGGGTCTGGTCATTTGGACCAGAGTGTTTAGACGGCTCCGAGATGCTGCACTGCCAAAAATCTAAATCTTACCAAATATGTTCAGCTTAGTTTCCAATGCAAACAGTTTAGTTCACCTAAAATAAGACAAAACTAACAGACAAGTAACTTTAAGTTTTAAGTCAGTAAATCCTGGCAGATTATTTAACTCTGGCATGATAAAATCACATATTATAAAATCACATAACCTGCCAGTGGAACTAATATGTTCTCATTTTAAAAAGGCATTTTTTGACACTTTTTTGTTTTGTTTTAAATGTCAAAATGTATATTAGACATTTAAAATTTACATTTTAAATATTTTTGTTCTTCCATTTGGGTTTCTACTGTTTCTAAAACTGAGATCACTTAAAAAAACAAAAACACACCCAGCTGTTTTTCTGCAAGAAGCTAATGTCTCTTTGGCGTCTGGAAAATGAGCCGTTCAAATACATCTGGATTGTTAACTCATATTCCACACTGTGCCGTTACCTAGAAACCTCAGTAGAGTTCCTCTTTGTTACCTAGCAACTTAAGCTGAGCTCCAGTATATTTGTTCAGCTGGTTTTACCGCTGTATGCATTGTATAATGGCTGCTGTTATTGACTCGCCATCCGGGAACCTCTTGCTGGATTCTTATTGGTTGTGCAGGAGGCTCCACTAATGCTGGTCAAAGATGTACGGTTGTATAATTGCATATCTCTTTGTAGCCATTCTGACATGTGAGTCTAAACACTGTGTTGGGGGCGTGTCCAGCAGCAGCTTATTTAGATTTAAAGTGACAGAGGC